AATGACAGCTGTTGTGAAATAACGGGATGTCTAAACCCAACACCAAAGGATAGCCTGTACTTACTGGCTGGCATTGTATAACCTGATACCAAAAGAAAGGCAGTGAGCTAAAAAGAAAGATCATGGCAGATGGAAGGTCCAGGGCATCTATTCTATGGTCACACAGAAGTAATTAAACAGCTTAAAATGCAAAAAAGAGTTTTGTGACCATTGTTGTGCCATTGGACATGACAGTTGACAGGGTGCAACTGAGGTTACTGAAGTCAAGATTACACGCAATCAAATACTCTGAAATGGACCTAGAACCCCAGAAGGACCTTTCAAGAGGGTCAGATCTAGATTGGCCAACGTGGCAATGCCTGAATTGCCTGCACACACAAACTAGAAGATCAAAACCAAACCTGATCAAATGGGACTACTCTAATGACATGAATATATGCAACTGTGGTGAAGTGCAGATTATGCAGCACATGCTTATTTGCTAACTCCTTGTTGAGATCTGTATGAAGGAGGACCTTGTTGCAGCAATGGAAAGAGCCATGACTTGTACACGATTCTTGAAAAAACATTTAGTTTATGACAAGGACACGAACAAAAAAAGAACAGATAAGGATTAGGGTTCTGATACTGATAACTGTACACATGCAGTATGACCTGTATGCAAATGACAATACAAGCAAAAGTCAGATACACAGTATACTTCCTGTAAGCACCTAGTTTCACAACCCCAATGTTATTTTCTGAGAGACCATGTCAGAAAGTATTCCTCATTTGACAAGCTACAGACTGTCAGGAGTAATGAACAGAAAAAATAAGAAACCAAACAGAATCAGAGACAGACAGATGAGCTAGGAAAAGGACACATGAAACAAATGGAAAACAGAAAGAGGTGGTCAGAAATATCAGGGGAAAACCCAGTAACCAATAATCAATGGCTCTCAATTTTTTGTTGTGCATCCATACTAAAAAAAAAGGCTAGAAAACCTAGTGGAGTGCCTTGTTATACAGATGTTTTACTTTAACAAGGAGTGCCTCATTTAAGTATAATGCTGCTGCTAATTATGTGCAAAACTTAAACTGAAACATTTGTAAGGTTTCTTTGTACTCTTTCAAATCTATAATTTAACATATTTGTTCCACTAGAACAAACATTTGCTGAATGTCATGGAAACTGTTTTTTTGAGAAGTATATTGTCAGTAAGATCTCTTCCCAATATAACATTGGATTCAGGCATCTCCCAAGTGACACAGACACACACACACACACACACACACACACACA